ATATTAGTGAGACTCCAGGTATGATTCCTCCTGAGGCAAAATTCCTCTCCAGTTGCGAACCTGTGAAGCCAAACAAGTTACAATGGTGGAAGGGACAGGAATAAGTGAGAGATTCCCATTCTACAAGAAAGAAAAAGGAAAGAAGGAAGAGCTGACAGATCCCAAGCAAGTCCAAAACCTAGCAAGGCAAATTATATTAGATGTTAAAGCTGTAGAATAATTCTCTTTGGTTGATGTCCTACCTTCCAGACCCACTGGGTTAGCAGCATCACCCCCACAGCTCTTCAGGATGGCCCTGCCACATGGCTTTCCTCAGGGGCCTCCCACTGAAACAGAAGAGCATTGCCCACTGGGCCTGTGCTGGGAGTAGCAGCGCTGATATTCTCTGAATTACCTTCCAGGTCATTCTTCCCTTTCTTCAAGAAAAGCACATGTTCACACCAAAATAATGCTACGGTCTGATCCTGTAGAATCCAAGAAGTCCAATAGCCTTCATTCCTTCCCTCTTTGTCTCTGTTAGTTGAAACTGGCATATATACACATATATACAGGAAGTTTTATATAGTTTCTAAAAGATATTTTTAAAATAATCTCTACACCCAACTTGGGGCTTGAACTTATAACCCCAAGATCAAAGTCACACATTCCTCTAAGCCAGCAGACACCCCTGTATTATATACTTTTTAACTTAAAGGTCTTTTTTTAAGATTTTATTTTATTTTATTTTGAGAGAGAAAAATACGAGTATATGAGTGGGGAGGGGCAGAGGGAGAGGGAAGAGTTGGACGCTTAACCAACTGACCCACCCAGGGGCCCCTTTAAAGTTTCATAAAACTGTCTCTATTATCATTCAAAGCATAATTTTAATTAATGCATAATACTCAATCTTATGATTATCATTTACTATTAACTATAGTCATTTTTTAACTTTATATTTAAATATTCTGTAATCAACATCTTTATACACAAATCTTTATCTGCTTTTTGATTACTTATAATAAACTCCCAAATATTCAATGACTGAACCAAATGATCTTCTGATTGGAAAAAAATATATACCACTATAATAAATGACCAAAAAGGCAAGGATTTTTTTATGATTATTAAAGTATATTAAAAAATCAGGACAACTAAGTTAAATGTGTGATTCCTGACTGGATCATACAATGAGGGAAAAAAGAGCTATAAAAATATTTGGGGGATAACTGGGGAATTCTTAATATGCACCATATATTAGATAATATTATTGTGTCAGTGTTAAATTTCTTGATTCTGATCATGGTGGTTTGGTTATGTAGACTGTCCTAGCTCTAAGGAGATACATGCTGATGTGTCATGAAGTCTGAAGATTACATCCAAATGGACGGCTCCATACTGAGGCTGCCTGGGTGAGGTTCACCAGGTTGCTCTGTCCACCGATTCATGATTTTCTGCCATTTCTTGGCAAAAATGGCAACTAATGGTGCTGTTCTGAAGAGATTGGAACAGAAGGGTGCAGAAGTAGATCAAATTATTGAATATTTAAAGCAGCAAGTTGCTCTTCTTAAAGAGAAAGCAATTTTGCAGGAAACTTTGAGAGAAGAGAAGAAACTTCGAGTTGAAAATGCCCAATTAAAGAAAGAAATTGAAGAACTGAAACAAGAGCTAATTCAGGCAGAAATTCAAAATGGAGTGAAACAAATACCATTTCCATCTGATTATCCGCTGCAAGCTAATTCTACAGTTTCTGAAAATGTGATACAGTCTAGACCAATAACAACTATAACTGCTGGTGCCAAAGAACAGATAGGAAGAGGAGCAGAAGAAAAGAAGATGAAAGAGAAAACTGAAGTGAAAGGAGAGAAAAAGGAGAAAAAAACAGCAGTCAGTAGCAGGAAGCATTGACTCTAAGCCAGTAGATGTTTCTCGTCTGGGTCTTCGAGTTGGTTGTATCATCACTGCCAGAAAACTCCCCGATGCAGATTCTTTATATGTGGAAGAAGTAGATGTTGGAGAAACAGTCCCAAGTACAGTTGTCAGTGGCCTGGTGAATCATGTTCCTCTTGAACATATGCAAAATCGGATGGTGAGACGCGCCTGGGGGGCTCAGTGGGTTAAAGCCTCTGCCTTTGGCTCAGGTCATGATCCCAGAGTCCTGGGATCGAGCCCCACATCAGGCTCTCTGCTTGGCGGGGAGCCTGCTTCCCCCTCTCTCTCCCTCTGCCTGCCTCTCTGCCTACTTGTGATCTCTGTCAAATAAATAAATAAAATATTTTTTAAAAATCGGATGGTGATTTTACTTTGTAACCTGAAACCTGCAAAGATGAGAGGGATAATATCTCAAGCAACGGTGATGTGTGCTAGTTCACCTGAGAAAGTTGAAATCTTGGCACCTCCTAATGGGTCTGTTCCTGGAGACAGAATTGTTTTTGATGCTTTTCCTGGAGAGCCTGACAAGGAGCTGAATCCTAAGAAGATGATTTGGGAGCAGATCCAGACTGATCTCTTTACTAATGATGAGTGTGTGGCTACATACAAAGGAGCTCCCTTTGAGGTGAAAGGGAAGGGAGTGTGTAGGGCTCAAACTATGACTAACAGTGGAATAAAATAAAATTAAATGCTTCATTTACTGAACTACATTGGAGAAAACTTTAATAACAATAGAAAGAAATACATTTGTCACTTGTAAAAAAAAAGATTATATCCAAATGATTCAGAAAATACGTGTATTTTTGTGTATGCATATACATAGAAAGAGAGAAATGAGAGGTTGGGACAAGGGAGAGCAAGTGTGGCAAAATGTTTACCACTGAATCTAGTAAAGGATAAATGGGTCCTCATTATACGGTCAACTTTTCTGTTTTGGGGTGTTTCTTTTCCCAAAAGATAGGAACAGACTATTCACAGAAAAATAAATTAGCCAATAAACATATGAAAATTTTTAAATTTTTTTATTTTTAAAAAATATTTTATTTATTTTTTATTTGTCAGAGAGAGCTAGTGAGCACAAGCAGGGGAGTGGCAGGCAGAGGGAGAAGGTGGCAGGAGAAGCAAGGTCTCCACTGACCAAGGAGCACAATGTCGGACTGGATCTCAGGACTCTGGGATGAGGACCTCAGCCGAAGGCAGACACTTAACTGACTGAGCCACCCAAGTATCTCAAACCTATTGATTATTTACGGCCTTTTATTTCTACCAGCTCTTTTGGCATTTGATCTCCAGTCACTTCAACTGAACTTCAAAAAGGGTGCAGGAAGGAAAGGGAAGTGAAATCTCAATCACTCCATTTCACATCTCATTAGCAGTCCTGGAGAAAGGTTGAAGAGATTAAAAAGGTCAAGAGTGCCTGGATGGCTCAGTCAGTTAAGCAACTGACTCAATTTCGGCTCAGGTCACAATCTCAGGGTTGTGAGATCAAGCCCCATGTTGGGCTCTGTCCTGGTCATGGAGCTGACTGAAATTTTCTCTCTCTCTCTCCCTCTGCCCTCTCACTCTATCTTGCTAAAAAATAACTAAATAAATAAATAACTTAAAAGGTCAAAACTAACTCATTAGAATGAGTTCTGGAAAGGACCTATAGACTTTAATTTACAGCCTGGTTTTCAATTTAGACTCTTCTGGTCTCTTATGACCCTAAATGTTTGATAAATTCAAAGTCCTATATGGAAAAAAAAAGTTAGCAATAAGTAAAATGAAAAATTGCAGACTTTCTCTAAAGAAAGAAAAAATGTTGAGGTCTGCCACTGGTCATACTTTTATCAGGAAAGAAGCCTATAAAATGGAAGACAACCAATGGACTGACAAACCATGAATGGAGGTTTTCCTTCTCAGAAACACTATGAAGGTTATAATGGTTCCAAGTATTGGCTGTGGAGTTAGGTCGTCTGTGTTAGAATATTTACTTAACTACCTACTACCTATCTGATTTGTGTCAAATTACTCAATCTCTTTATGCCTCAGTTTCCTCATCTGAAAAAATGGGACAACAATAAAAACCATGTCTTAGGGTTATTGTGAAGATTAAATAAATTAGTACATTTTAGTTCTGATGACAGCATCTGGCATACCGTAAGACCTCAATTTATGTTACTATGGTTACTATGGTTCTTATTATTACCACTATTGCTACACTAACTACTACAACAATACAACTACTACAATAACTGCTACAATAACTACTACAACTACTACAACAACTTTCAACCAGCAGCTATTTAGAATTTGGCATCTGGTTTAGAAAAACTATACTAACACAAAAGAAGCACAAAACACACACACACAGCGGGTGAAAAAGTGAAAGACAAAGACTACAAGTCAGTCCTTTAGTGTCTCCTCAGGCTATTTTGAGAGACACTGAGAAGGGAAAACTACACCAACAAAACACAGCTCATTTCAAGAGTGAATCTTTGTAGTCTGGATAAATTAATCTCGAGAGAAATGACAAATTCTCTCAGTCATTCATCAAACTTTATTGTGGCTTTCTGTACTATGATTCAGGTATTCAGAAAGAGTCTAGAAATATAAAATAGAAGAATGTTTATGCCTATAAAAACTGTGTTCTTACCAAAGAAATATAGACAGATTATAATATATAATGGGTTATACGATGAATGTATGCATAGGATACTATGGAAGCAGAGGAGAGACACCCAAACTAGACATGGGGGAGGGAGGAAACAGCAAGATTTCCCAGGAGTGATGACACTGAAACTGAACTAACTTTAAAGGACAGTAACAGGTAAATGGGATACAATGGGGAAAAAAATCATTTCCCCATGGTAAAAGCTTTCACATGGAGATAAAAGATGAGCATCACTGCCCTGCTTATAGCCACATAAAACCAAAAGGACTCTTCCAAACACTAATGACTAGATAACCACTGCAGATATGGGCCTGAATAGGTATGCCTCCAGAATATCTTTTGTTGACATCTCCACCCTCCCCAACTCAAAAAGAGCCATGTTTGGAGAACTGACAGAAAGCTTTGATAAATGATACTCAAAGACAAGTTTCTCACTTACAACACTGGGCGGCAGCAGTGGGCAATGGCTTCCTCTGGTTTTCTTCTTGACTGGAACACTAGAAGCAAAAAGGAGAAAGAAAAAAAAACACAGATAAGAGGCCCAAATACAGGCAAAAAAAAAAAAAAAAAAAAATCACAGCTGCTTGTGAAAAGATTTAGTGTTTGATTAGAGTTAAATTTTTATTTAACAGAAACAAGTCATCCTGCTGATTTCCCTGTATGATCCTGATATATAGGCCAGACTATATGTCAGATTATGGCACTTGCCCAATTTAACAGGCTAACTAATGCAGGAGAGCAGAGAGATTGTTTCGATCAAGGGCACCTGGGTACGTACCAGCTCTGCCAGACAGCCGTAGAAGGCTTCGAGGAGCCTTAGAGAGCTTAGAGAACTCAGTCCTCTGAGTTTTCTTATGGATAACATACAGATTTCCATTTGGTGTGATGGAACTGAAAACCTCTCTGAAACGGGAGTTTTCCCATCTTTAAAAACATAATAGTGCTTCTTTCCTCACAAGGGCATGTGGGAAGTAAAATTACTTTTTTAAGCATGTAATGCAACATCTCATACCTACTACAGTTCCCTTTCCATTCTAGCCTCCCCAACCCAACACCACCATCACAACCAAAAAAACAAATACAGATTACTGAAGCCACTAAAAAAAAAAAAAAAAAAAAAAAAGTTCTGTAAAAGAGAGCATAACTAAATGCAAGTCTTGAGGATGGGCAAGATTTGTAAAGGCAAAACAAGAGAAAGGCATAAACAAGTTAACAAAGGTACACAGTCTGAAAAACAAAATATTTTGATCAGAGCCTACTGGAGGATTCAAAAGACATAATTTGGTCCAGCAATTTGCAAATATGAAATCTGGAGTTCTCATCCTGACTCTGCCACTTATTACTATGCTCTGATGTACTGGGCAAGACAGTTCTCTAACACTGCCAACGAATAAGTCACTCATTCAGCATAAAGTTCTTAAGAACCCATTATCTACAAAGGCCTTGATGGAGTTTGTACATCATGGTAAGGAGTTCGGATTTTATTCTAGTGTACTGGGAAGCCATTTATAATTTTAGACACAAAAGGGATATGATTCAATTACACTGTAAAAGTCTTTCTGGCTGCTGCATAAGGTGAACTAGAGGGAACAAGAGGAAAAGACTAATTACTGCAATAATCCAGACGAAAGTTTATGGCGACTTACATAGGAGTTATTAATGGTAAAGGACATCTCAAATAGTCGAACACAAAATACAAAACACTTTTTGTATGTAAATATAGTTTTATATGTGAAGTACTTTATAAACGATTAACTATGATACAAATATCAGAGTTAGATACTGCCATTACTAATTCCAATAGAGAATAATGAGAAGTCAAGCACAACCTAAACAATAGTAATAGTAAATCTGCCAATCATAAAAATGCTCAAAAAGTTCTTGAAAGTTAAGCAACCCACCACTCAAAGGTAAAAAATGGACTTGGTTATAAATAGTAACCATTACAAATGAGGATGATTTTTATAGGTAGTACACAAATCTATCAGTGAGAAAATTCTGTAACTTTAATTTTTAAGTAGGTTCCACACCCAAAATGGGATTTGAACTCACAGCCCTAAGATTAAGAGTCGCATGCTCTACTAACTGAGCCAACCCGGAACCCCCAAAATTCTATAACTTTAAATATTAAACTAGAAGAATTCAGATTTAAGAAATGAAAGTAGAAGGATGCCTGGGTGGCTCAGTCACTTTAGTGTCTGCCTTGGGCTCAGGTCATGATCCTGGAGTCCTGAGATCTGTCTGCATCAGGCTCCTTGCTCAGTGGGGAGGTCTGCTTCTCCCTCTGTTTGCCTCTCCCTCAGCTTGTGCTCTCCCTTTGTGACAATACATTAAAAAGATGCTAAAAAAAAAAAAAAAAAAAGACAATAGCAGATATTTTCAGAAGACATATTTCATGAATATCCTCTAGGCCCAAAGCAGAAAGATGGAAAACCAACTAAAGCCTAATTAACAATATTAAAAGAGCTAAGGAAAAATCTATCATACATATGTACCAAAACAAAACAAAACAAAACAAAAACAAAAACAGAGGGGCACCTAGCTAGCTCAGTTAATAGAACATACTCTTGATATCTTGGGGCTCTGAGTCTGAACCCCAAATTGGGGGTAGAGTTTACTTCATCAAACAAATGAACAAACAAAAAAACCATACACACACACACATACACACACAGGAAAAAAAAATAATCCTAATTATATCCAATCTCATCATGAATATAAGTGGACAATTCTCAAGAGATTACTAAGTCAAATCCATCACATTATTTATCTATAATATACAAGTATTATAATGTTAATATGTACAGATATGTTTGTACACTTTAAATGTATGCATTGTATGGTATGTGAACCCTATTTCAATAAAGCTTTTAAAAATAACAAGAGAGTGGGGCGCCTGGTGGCTTAGTCAGTTAAGCAACTGACTCTTGATTTTGGCTCAGGTCATGATCTCAGGGTCCTGGGATCCAGCTCCATGCTCAGCAGGGAGTCTGCTAGAGGATTCTCTCTCTCTCTCTCTCTCTTTCAGCCTCTACCCCTACACCTGCGCCTGCTTTCTCTTTATCCTTCTCTTAAATAAATAAATCTTTAAAAACAACAAGAAGAGGGTTATAAAGGAAGGGATGAAAGAAGTAAACTGAGTGAACTCTGAATCCTAGAACAGAAACAAAAAGCAAAAATCTTAGAAGAAGTTGAGAACCATAGACCAAGAATCACCATTTTCAGAACTTGTAAAATTCTGCAGTACTTGTATAAGTTACATTCGGTTTTTTATTGTTTTAACTTCTTCATCTGATTCTGCATAGTGACACACAGTAAGCCTATAAAATCAAAAGTACAATGTGGGTTTTTTTTTATATTTTATTTTTAAGTAATTTCTACACCCAATGTGGGACTCAAACTCAACCCTGAGATCAAGAGTTGCATGTTCTACCAACTGAGCCAGCCAGGCATTCAGAAATGTGTTTCTTTAAGAGGGAAAAAAAGAAGATGGGAGTTTGGAAAACTGTATACCAGTCTACACCCAGGCTGTGGGAAAAAAAAAAAAGCACAATGGGTAAAGTGGATATAATGATAAGAGTCTATGTGGCATTTATCAAGGGATGAAGAAAGATTGAAGCTTTCAACAAACAAAAAAAGTTGAGGTGTTGGCTTGGACATGAGAAGAGTTACAAAGTTTAATAATAGGAAGCCTAAAGAGGATTCAGTTAAATTAAGAGAAAACCCTGACAAGAGTAATTTGCAATTATCACAAATTCTATTTCTTTATCTTTAACTCATTGTGTGTTGAACTGTGTACCTCAAAAAAATATGAAGGGGCGCCTGGGTGGCTCAGTGGGTTAAACCTCTGCCTTCGGCTCAGATCATGATCCCAGAGTCTTGGGATTGACCCCCCGCGTCGGGCTGTCTGCTCAGCGGGGAGCCTGCTTCCCCACCTCTATCTGCTGGTCTCTGCCTACTTGTGATCTCTCTCTGTCCAATAAATAAATAAAATCTTTTTAAAAAAAAATGAATGTCTTAATCCCCAGTACCTACGAATGTGACCCTATTTGTAAATGGGGTTCTATAGATGTAATCCAATTAATCCAATGACTGTTGCCCTTACAACATAAATGTAAATTTGGACAGAGACACACCAAGAGAACACACTGTGAGGACAGACTGAGAGACAGAGAGGCATGTGATTAACAGAGGCAGAGAATGGAACAATGTGTCTTCAAGCCAAGGGACAGCAAGGACTACTGAAAACCACCAGAAGGCAGAAGAGAGGCATAAGACAATTCTTTAGAGCATCCAGAAGGAACTGACCCTGCCAATAACTTAATTTCAGAATTCTAGCCTCCAGATTTGTGAGAAGATAAATTTCTGTTTTTGTAAGCCACCTAGATAGTGGTACTTTGTTATGGCAGCCCTAGGAAACAAATACACTCATCAAAATATTTCATTTTGGCTTCCCACACTAATCCAGAGATATTGGTTATTAATTACCAAATGCAACAGCTCCATTTCACTCCTCATCATCTTTTTTCTCAATAACACTTGACAGTATCAAGAATTTCTGCCTTGGGGCACCTGGGTGGCTCAGTGGGTTAAAGCCTCTGCCTTCGGCTCAGGTCATGATCCCAGGGTCCTGGGATCGAGCCCCACATCGGGCTCTCTGCTCAGCGGGGAGCCTGCTTCCTCCTCTCTCTCTCTGCCTGCCTCTCTGCCTACTTGTGACCTCTGTCTTTCAAACAAATAAATAAAATTTAAAAAAAAAAAAAAAGAATTTCTGCCTTAAAACCCTTTGTTCCATGAACCTTTTTCTCTTTCTCCCACTTACTCTCTTCAGGCAACTCTTTCTCCACCTCTTTGGTTTTTTCCATATTCTATCTTTGATGTTCCCCCAAGGTTTTGTCCTCATTCCTCCTCAATACTTTCTATATATTCTACCTGAGTGAATTCTTCTATTCCTGGGACTCCAAATGCTACCATCGTGTTCATGAATCCAAACTCTATGCCTATAGCTCCTAACCCTATCTAACCCTGAGTTTCATATTCTTTCATGAGGTTGCTTACCAGACATTTCCATTGAAATATCCGCTGGCACTCTAAATTCTACCTTAAAATCAGACCAATTTTCTAACAGCCCAACATGCCCCAAAATGAAAATCTTATCTTTTCCCTTCACCACCAATAACAAAACCATTCCCCATTCCTGACTGCCCAGGCTGAGTTGACTGTGTTCCCTTCTGTGCACCAGACTTCTCTGTGGAGATAAGACGGGATCAAGCAATGCAATACTCTAAGCATCCCTAAAAAGAACATACTAATAACAATATACAGTTGACTCAGACAATGGGGGGGTACGGGCACTGACCTTCAACACAGGCAAAAGTTTCCATATAATTTTTTTTATTTTTTAAGATTTATTTATTTGAGAGAGAGAGAGAATGAGAGAGAGAGAGAGAGAGAGCCCATGAGAAGCAGGAGGGTCAGAGGGAGAAGCAGACTCCCTGCCAAGCAGGGAGCCCGATGCGGGACTCGATCCCAGGACTCCAGGATCATGACCTGAGCCAAAGGCAGTCACTTAACCAACAGACCACCCAGGCACCCCACATATAACTTTTGACCCCCCAAAAACTTAACTACTAATAGCCTACTTTTGACTGGAAGCCTTAACAATTAACAGTCAATGAAAGCATATTTTGTATGTTATATGTATTATATACTGTATTCTTACAAGCTAGAGGGGGAAAAAAGTTCATAAAATCATAAAAGTAATAAATACATTTACAGTACTGTATTTGTTTTTAAAAAAATCTGTGTACGGGACACCTGGGTGGCTCAGTCAATTAAGCATCTGCCTTGGGGTCAGGTCATGATCCCAGCGTCCTAGGACTGAGCCCATATCAGGCTCCTTGCTCAGCGGGTAGCCTGCTTCTCCCTCTGCTACCACTCCCCCTGCTTGTGCACTCACTCTCTTTCTCTCTCTCTCTCCCCACCATCTCTAACAAATAAAATAAAAATCTTAAAAAAAAAAAAAAAAAAAAGATCTGTGTACAAGTGAACCCACACAGTTCAAATTCCTGTTGTTCAACAGTCAGTTGTATATCCCAAAATCTGGGAATTAGCAGAAGAAATGCTTTTCACTCACCTGTGTAACAAGAGGACAGTTTCCCTAGTATAAGCTCCCACTCAGAGTCCTCAGTCAGACTAAATACCAACTCAGCCATTTATGGGGGACAGTGAGAAAAATAGAAGAAGTGGGAAACAGATCCTTCTAATGAATGTCCAGTGATCTTCCAGTTGTTTTCTTTCTTTAATGCAGCTTAAATTCTTTCATTTTTTAACATGCTCCTAGGTCCTTCCTTGGCAAACTATAGTGTCCTAGAAAGAAATTTTCCCCATCCTTCTGTACTGCATATAAGGCAGTTCCTACCTCACTATCAGCTCCCAAGACATTGATTTGTTCCAACTTGTAGGTCCAATATCTGGCTTCCTCCTCTGGGATATCTACCATGAAAAAGAAGAAACTAAATTACTAGGTTGTTAATTTAATCATGGTTCAATAGTCCTCTATTCCATCAAATAATCAAAGTTAGAAAGTGATGGACTAATTTTACTGGAAGGCTTGGTTCTTGCCATGAACTTCATCTTGAATCTTCATAAAAAAACCAAAATAAGGTACTATTATTCCCATTAGATCAGAGGACTTAATATTGTTAAAATGTCAACACTGCTCAGTGTGATCTATATATTGAATGCAATCACTATCAAAATCTCAACGATGTTTCTTTGCAGAAACAGAAAACCCCATTCTATGGATAAAGAAGATGTGGTATATGTATACACACACAGACACACATATACACACTGGAATATTACTCAGCCATCAAAGAAATGAAATCTTGCCACCTGGGTATCTCAGATGGTTAAGCATCCAACTCTTGGTGTTGGCTCAGACTATGATCTCAGGGCCATAAAATCAAGCCCCTTGTTGCGCTCCACGCTCAGTGCAGAGTCTGCTTGAAACTCTCTCTCCCTCTCTCTCTGCCCCTCACTCTCTCTCAAATAAATATTTTTTTTTAAATTTTTTAAAGATTTTATTTATTGTGGCGCCTGGGTGGCTCAGTCAGTTAAGCATCTGCTATCAGCTTGGATCATGATATCAGGGTCCTGGGATTGAGCCCTACATAGGGCTCCCTGCTCAGCAGGGAGCCTGCTTCTCCCTCTCCTCTGCCCTTCCCCAGCTCATGCTCTCTCTCACATAAATAAAAAAAAATCTTAAAAAAAAAAGATTTTTCAAATTTATTTGACAGAGAGAGAGACAGCAAGAGTAGGAACACAAACAGGAGGAGCGGGAAAGGGAGAAGCAGGAGGAGTGGAAAAGGGAAAAGCAGGCTCCCCGCTGAGCAGGAAGCCTTATGTGGGGCTCTATCCCAGGACTGCAGGACCTGAGGCAAAAGGCAGACACTTAATGACTGAGCCACCCAGATGTCCCTAAAAATTTTTTTGAAAATAAATGAAACACAGGGCGCCTGGGTGGCTCAGTGGGTTAAGCCTCTGCCTTTAGCTCAGGGCATGATCTCAGGGTACTGGGATCAAAGCCCTGCATCGGGCTCTCTACTCAGCGGGGAGCCTGCTTCCCCCTCTCTCCCTGCCTGCCTCTCTGCCTACTTGTGATCTCTCTCTCTCTCTCTCTCTGTCAAATGAATAAATAAAATGTTTTAAAAAAAAAGTAACAGACAAAAGTTTAAAAAAAAAATAAAAAGAAACATATCAACATGTAAAAAAACATCTCTAGTTGATGAGGTCGTAAGAAATTTTCATGTTCTTTTTGCATACCTGTATTTTCTGAACTTTCAACATAATAAATCATGTTACTATTTTTAAAAGATAATGGTATATAACTGAATAGAATATTTCACAGGTTTCTGAATTATCCAAAAGAAAATTCCATTGCCAAAATATGGCAAACTGTAAGCTAAAATTCTTCCCTTAGAAAGACCCTTTATTAAGCCTTTTTAGTTTTCTAAAAGATTTATTTATTTATTTTAGAGAGAGAGCCAGTGTATGCATGCAAGCGGGAGGAGGGGCAGAGGGACAGAGAGAGAAGCAAAGTCCCCACTGAGCAGGGAGCCCTACTTGGGGCTCTATCTCATGACCCTGAGACCATGACCTGAGCCGAAAACAAGAGTTGGAGCCTTAACTGACTGAGCCACCCAAGCACCTCCCTTTCTTTTTTTTAATTAATTAATTAATTTATTTTTTATGGTACCTCCCTTTCTTAAGCCTTTTAAAACTGTATCCCCAAAAACGTGAAAAAATAAAAAAATAAAACTGAATCCCAAATGTGGTTATCATAGAGGCACAAGCTTGGCACATTCACGTTCACTTATCTGAGGTTTTACCTTAACATTTATTCAAAAACCCATTTATCAGACACCTATTATATGCCAAGCAACTCAAAAGATACCAAAATAAAATACACAAGAGCCCTCATGAAACTGAAATCTAGACAGAAATGTATACTGCCACCAATGACACAATGTAAGTGATACAGTGTTTAAAGAGAAGAATGTCTTTTTAAAATGCCTTGGTGCAGGGGGGGGCCTGACTGGTTCAGTCTGTGGAGCACATGACTCTTGATCTCACGGTCGTGAATTCAAAAGCCCTATGTTAAGCATGAAGCCTACTTAAAATAAAAATAAATAAGTAAAATAAAATGCAATGAGGGATGGATTGACAGTGTGAGGAGCTCCACAGATCCACTCTTTAGCAAAACTGTAAATATACAAAAAAACTATTTTTGCCATGATCATGTATTTTTCAGTTTTTATTAAAAATTATTTTTATTTTTCATTTAAATTCAATTTAGTTAACATAGAGTATATTATTAGATTCAGGGGTAGAATTTAATGATTCATCAGTTGCATATAACACCCAGTGCTCATTACATAAGTACCCTCCTTAATGCCCATCACCCAATTACCCCATCTCCCGACCCACCATCCCTCCAGTAACCTTCAGTTTATTTTCTAGAGTTAAGAGTCTCTTACAGTTTGCCTCCCTCTGTTTTTATTTTATTTTTCCTTCCCCTCCCTTATGTTCATCTATTTTGTGTCTTAAATTCCACATATGAGTGAAATCATATGGTATTTGTGTTTTTCTGACTTAAAAATTATTTTTTAAATATTTTTCTATTTATTAATGCTACTTCAATGTTTAACTGACAAATCACAAGGTATACATTCACTTCAAGACAATGAATATTAAATTATCAAAAGAATAAATCTTTATTCTCTAATAAGCAAGTATTTCCTGTCATTAAAATGTCAGAGAAACCTATTGACTTGAAGAGAATGCGCTTAGTGTGGATTCTTTAATGAGTACCATTCTACAGCCTGCACCATTTCTGGGCTAGGTAGATGACTAAAGTAGAAGATGTCAGAATGCCCTCAAAGGAGATAGCTGACAAGACAAAAAATACAGTAATCAGACTAGCAAACAATTGTTAACAAAATGATAAAAAGTGTTAAGTGGTTTTTAAAGTCTAATTCAACAGACTCACCAAAAGGCAACTCAAACCTTGTATCAAGCAAAATCTTATGAGGAGTCGGGTTTTTCGTTCCACAGATCTCATCATCTTTCATCAATGTCTCTGCCTCCAATGTGGACCACTCCCCAGGCCCTTCCTAGAAAACAGAGGATCTAAGATTAAACTTTATTTCTTCATGACTCTCCTCCTCCTGTTTTAAGAGTTGGGTGTTTTTTTCTGAATGTCATTGTTGGAGAGCTCCTGGAGACCACTCACATCCTGATGAGGCAAACACACCACTGTCACCACTTGTCTCTGCTGCTATGTGGCTTCTGTTCTCCCTCTTTGGTGGAAGAGCAGCTTACACCATGCTCAGCTCTCTGCAAGCCCACTGAACATAGAATTCTGGAGTACCAAACTCAAAAACCAAACATCTCAATAGATCAATATTTAATCTGCACAACTTTTAATGGCTGTATCACTTAATATGTATTACTACTTCTAATCAGTAAAGAGCTACTAACATTGCTACTTAAAGTAGACCTGAACTGGAGCCACAATAAAAACGAACTGTCCATCTGCCTAGGGAAGTAGAGATAGCTAGAACTAAAAGAATTTAGGAAAGAGGCAAGCCTTCACTATTCCTACTCCCAGAGAAAGCACATAGTCAATGTTAAAGCCAAACAGGAATATAATACATTTTTTTCCAGGTTGAAAGTGAGTGTGTATGGGAATATGATGCTGAGTTATGTTTTAATCTGGGAAAATGGAGTAGAAAACCACTCTTGGAAATAATGTATAGAGACAGGGTGAATAACAATTGCTATCCATGTTAATGTCTTAAATTCTGTTAGGGTTACATGTGGAAGATGGAAGACTGAAAGCAGTTCCCTGGCAATTTGTGACTCAAAGAAATAAAGCAGAGAATGGGATCCAGGCTAAGGAATTTTGATGGAACCTCTCCCAGGATAGCATCTTAGAGGAGAATGCAGAAACCAGAGGTATCCTAGATCACAAACATACACTTACTCCCCCTCTTCTCTCCTTTTCCCTCCAAACTCTCTGTCTCTCTCTCTCCCACATACACAGTACTCAGAAGGGGCTATCTACCTGATATGTTCTAAAGAGATGTTCTGGCACCTCTGAGTTCAGTCATAAAACAGAGAGAAAACAAGAATTAAATAAAATCTATGGAACCTCTGTGTGAGGTTAGGAATAGGCTGGTTGCATGCTCACAAATTAGGAAGGGGGACAGAGCAATCTGAGATGCATGGTGAACATTAGCTGAACAGAGCCAGGACCGGGACAAGCACGGGCTAGAACTGTACCTCCAAATGGGCAATGCATTGACTGACCTCATCCGACTGACGAACAGTCTTCAGTGCAATCCACACGGTCCCCACCATGGTGTCCCAGATCAGTCCTTTGTTCCATACCTCCACACTTAGACCTAGGTCCAGGCGACTAATTTCACTGAAGGAAAAGAAGAAAGCCCTTTAAAGAAGCCAGAAAGGGGTGCCAGGTGGTCTCAGTAGGAACAGCATATGACTCTTGATATCAGGGTTGTGAGTCTGAGCCCCATGCTGGGTGTAGAGATCACTAAAAAATAAATAAATAAATTTGAAAAAAAAAAAAAAGAAAGCCAAATAATATGAAATATGTATCTCCTACATCTACATCTCCTGTTTTGCTAAACCTTGAATACTTTCTCACCAGGATCCTATTGTCAGGAAAAATCAAAATGTCCCAGAATGCTACAACCATTCTTCAGGTTCCTAGAAAACTATGTAATTATCTATACAAAAATGCCTTTGTCCATCCGTCCCCTCTCCTTTGGAACCACAAATATGGTTAGATTAATGCACTTGCACAAAAAAAAGGGGTTAAATAATAAGGGCATTACTGCCAGGCCTGCAAGTCTATAATCTCTACCCTTACTAACCACTTTTATATGTTTTATTATTAATAGTAACACTGCCCTCAACTTACACTTACAAACTATATATAGGAAACATAGGAAAAGGCAAGCCTTCTTTACAAGACTTATAAAAGGGATTCCAAGCAGAAGTAAATAGGCCCTTGAGAAGATCTAAGTCTGATGGGAACTTGTGGTCAGAGGCAGGTAAGGAACACTAAAGTATGCCAGTTCACTCCACTCAGCCCCTGGAGAACCCAGTTAAAACAGACACTGTTCCTTCCAAACAAAATGTTTGTCAGAGGATAGTGATAAACACAATGATTATCCTGTAATAACTAGGAAAAAAATTTTTGAAAAGAAATTCTAGAAAGGGCTACTAACCACTAAGCAAAAACAGCATCATACATGGTAGAATATCAGCTTAGAAGGGCCAACTTAAATATAATTATAGTCTTAAAGGGGAACAAGCAAACACTTATATTATGCTAAAAACATCCTCCAGAAAGCTCTTATTGAAATAGAGAGTTATTTGAAAGGAAATGCAAGAAACATTAAAAAAAAAAAATTCTAGGGGCGCCTGGGTGGCTCAGTGGGTTAAGCCGCTGCCTTCGGCTCAGGTCATGATCTCAGGGTCCTGGGATCGAGTCCCGCATCGGGCTCTCTGCTCGGCAGGGAGCCTGCTTCCCTCTCTCTCTCTCTGCCTCTCTGTCTACTTGTGATCTCTCTCTGTCAAATAAATAAATAAAATCTTAAAAAAAAAAAAAAATTCTAGCAGAAAAAGTAGAAAGGTATTCTCAGTGAGACAACAGCTATTCATTACATGAAGTTTCAAGTTCACAGTTTTCTGTTTTTTGTTTTTATGGTGAAAAAATTTGTATTTAGATTTAGCCAGCTCGACTCAGTTTAGATGATCCAAATTTTTTTGGAAACATCCAAAGCATTACAGTCAGGAGCCAGTCAAACATATGCCTTCTTCTCTCCTTCAGGCCTCATCAAGGTATTGACCTTGGCCACATCAATATCATAGAGGTTCTTCACAGCCTGTTTGAGCTGGTGCTTATTGGCCTTGACATCCACAATGAACACAAGTGTGTTGCTGTCTTCTATTTTCTTCATGGCTGACTCAACAGTCGGGGAACTTGATGATGGCATAGTGATCAAGCTTGTTTCTCCTAAGGGTACTCTTTTGAGGATATTTGGGCTGCTTTCAGAGACAGATTCTTGGCTCATTGGAATGTAGATGACATGTGGGACAAAAAATGTGTGACTGTGGATGCCTTTCAGCTCCATTTTCTTGGCCTTTAAAGCCTTTGCTTTGGCTTCAGCTTTCGGAGGAGCAGGGGCTTCCTTCTTAGCCTTACGGCGCCATCTTGGTAAAAGGGAAATTCACACTTTAGAGAAAGTTTGGTTTCCCTCTTCTAGTCAGATACATGTTCCCGGGCACCTGGGTGGCTCAGCCTATTAAGCATCTGCTTCCGGCTCAGGTCACAGGGACCTGGGATCGAGCCCCACTTCGAGTTCCCTACTCAACAGTGAGTCTGTTTCTCCCTCTCTCTCTGTCCCTCTGCTTGCTTGTGTGTGCTCCCTCTCTTTCTCTCAAAAAAATAAATAATCTTTAAAAAAAAAAATACACGTTCTCAGAATCACAAGTTTAGGATGTGGTATTAGAGCCAAAGACTTCTCATCAAGTATGTTGAAAACAAGTGAAACAAGGAAAAGTCATCCCTTTTACATAAATACACTAGAACAGAGAATGTACTGAGTTCATTTTTTCACTTAATTAATGTTTCCTCAGCACATAAAATACATATGGTTTGGTATTCTGAGCAAGACACACTATATAGGACCTAATTCCTATCTCTAAAACCTTCTAAGCTATCTTGAGAGCTGTTCAAAACCACAAAGTGACTAAACCCAGCCAGTAAACTAAGGTGTTCACGGCGTGAGGAAACTAAGCTTTTGTCACACAGTTTCATTCAACCTAATTAATCAATTAGCCTTGGAAAAGACATCTGACAACCCCAAATCTTTTGAATATGTAAAAGAAAAATTGGTTGGAGATACATACATAATGTTCCTAAAGCAAGTCCTAAGCAACATATCAATCCAATAGATGAAAGAAATAGCCAGAGGTCTTTACAGCTTAACTGGGACAGAATAAAGTTCTTTAGGGAACTCTGGGTAATCAAACTCAATGAGGCTATCTCCTATAAGAAGCTTCTTCACTCATCTATGTGTGTTCAACAGGCCCAACTTAAAAGAAGTCTGAGAGTTCTGTTCATGCCTCATCCCTAAAGCTCTGGGGAAACTTCTTTTCTCTATTAATTAATCAACAAGTATATATGTATATACATATACAAGATTTGGGGCTAGGGAAATTCACAGTAACTAAAGGGTAAATTATTCATTTACCCTTAAATGAATAATCTAGTCCTAGAAATAAGATACAAAAATATTAAAGATAAATAACAAAAATACAAGAATGACTATTAGATACCACCATATAATACATCAGGAAGAAGGAAAAAGGAGAAAGGGAGACAAGAGACCAGCAATGGAGCTGTCAGTAACAAAAGAACAGGGTAGGAGGAATAAGGAATAGGAGCAGAAAAGAGGAAAATGTAGCTAGTAAAATTCATGTATAACAGGGGACAGAGTAAAATTCACACAGCATCTCAAGGTGGGAGATGAAAAAAAATTCATATCACAGAAGGATTGAAAGAGGAAGTGCTATGGGTAATTAGAAAATAAACACACAAGAATAAAGCTAGTTATGCTGATGACAGGCTACAGAAGATTGCTAGGTTTCATACAATGGGAACAGTTGTAACAGTAAATATTACTGCCAAATGGAAGTCAGAATAAAGTGGAATTTCTGGATTTTATATGCCAAACAGCCATGGGAAGAGACCTGAATAAACCCTCATAGCTGATTATGTACACTACAGGTATAAAGAAACACACAGTCTCACTCTAACATCACTGTAACTGAGAAAGGGAATGAATGAGGCTTATAAACTTGAGAGAGAGGCAACCAATGAGAAATGTGACAACACTGGCCCTCTCTCTTCTTGAAGCCCCAGTTCTCTCTCAGCTTCTTGTTTCTCCTTCTCTCTGTTCATTCCTATTTAGCCCCCTCTGTCCCACTTAAAATGCTGGTGCCCTTCCAGGCTTTACCCCAAGCTCTGTTCTCAATTTACTTAGCATCTCCCTAAGCTTCCTCATCTACATCTACAGTTCCAACCGACCAAAATATTTCTCCAACCCTGACTTCTTTCCCAAGTGCCAGGTTCAAGTTCTTAACTATCTTCTATACCTCTCTTCCTATTAGTCCTGTAAGAACCTCAAATATAAGCTCATCCATAACTGATCTTATTATTATCCTCTATCCTAATGAGTAATACAATACCTACCCAATTATGCAAGACAAGTCTACCTCCTTAACACCTTCTTTCCATCTTTTTCTATCCCTTTTGCTACTGTCTTATTAACCCAGCTGTTCATAATCTCACCCTTATTTACAATCTAGTTTCCTAAATGGTACTATAAGAAGTAATACATTAAAAGCTCAAAGGATTGGAACATATCTACAAGAAAATAATCATCCCTATGTGCTTCTGAGGTGCACTACAAAATTTGTAAAGCAATTTCACTTCCATTTCAAAATTCACAGCAATTTTAATACATTTTCTTGTTTGACACCCTCATGCCTAAGTTCCCAGAAAACAAGCATAACCTTGTAAGAAAAATACACCTATAGAGGTGAAGTAACTGGTACTCAGAGAAGTTCAATGATTTGTACAGTCCTTCAAAATGATATTCTACATTTTCCCCTTTTCCAAAGCAGGAAAAAAATGTCTGAAATTTCAGAGGAAAAAAGGGAAATGTCAAGTTTTTAAAGCCAGAGCTTACAATGTACTACATTTTGTGTAATACGTAAGAAATTCTAATAGTTACTCATTTCTATTAATTAGGGGAAGGTAGGACATTTCACTCTATAAAGCAAAAGGATTTTAAGCACAGAAATCCTTATCTTCTATAGCAGGTAACATGGATATACACACACATATACACATTCTCTCTGTCTTTCTCTCTGTCTCTGTCTCTCTCTCTCTCTCTCTCTCTCACACACACACACACACACATGCACGCACGCGTGAGCACACATAACACATTCCTTCAAGGAGCCTTCTGAGAATCGAAGCAAGATTCAAATTATGTTTACTTTCATGCTAAGTATATTGTACTATATCTTAATTCTGACCACTGGGAAAATCTGACCAGGCAGTATATTTACCCAAATAAATGAACTGGGAGTTTACTTACATTCATAATTCGCATAATGTAGATCAATTACAAACCCAGGAGAGAACAAAACTGCAGATTTACTTCACCCCACCATACCCCTCACTTGTTCTTGTAACTCTGTAGTTTTCATAAAGAATACTGTAGGCAGCTGCTGCTGCAAAGCACTTACAACATAAAATCTTGTTCCCAAGAAGGTTGATCACCACGAACTGCTACAGTTGTGCTCTTCACATTCTGCACTTTCAGGGTCACATATGTGTTAAATTTATCTTTAAAAAAATGCAAAAAAATGCACAGTGAAGATGTAATACTTAGTGCTCAAATTGTTACTCAATCTCACAAAGTCTTTGGAACTGAGTAACCCAAATTAAAGTATTATATGATGAAGAAAAAAATAAAAGTATATATTGTACTATATGGCATCATTCTAAGCATACAGAGCCGTAAAAGATTATTAAACACATTCTCAAAACACATTATTCTCATTCTAAGCATACAGAGCCGTAAAAGATTATTAAACACATTCTCAAAAGCACAAGCTATAATAGTTTTTCAAATTTTAGAAATACATATTTGACCCTGTAGATACACATACACACAAATGAAAACAAAGCTTCATGAAATACATTATGTGATACATTGATATTTCCTGTTCTAATTTATTTAAACTATTAAAACATTAATCATAACCAACTGAATTGATTTTATAGACAATCTTCAGTTTGAAAAAAACAAATCTAATTGATCTAATAGAAAAGATAAGATACATAAATTAACAAAATGAGTAAGTACCATAAGAGAAAGAGAAAAAATGGTAAAGATTGAAGGAGAGGAAAGGATTATCTCTAGCTGTTGAAAGGGACAAGAATTGAGAAAAAAACCTTCATAAAAGAAAGGGATTCCAAGCTTTATCTATTCAGGCTGGCCTAAAACACAACTTACATAAAAAGCAATACTGGGGCACCTGGGTGACTCGGTCCATTGAGCACCTGACTCGGTTTCAGCAGGTCCAATCGAGCTCCCCTCTATCCTCACGGGCTCTCCACTCAGCAGGAGTCTGCTTGGGATTCTCTCTCCCTCTCTCTGCCCGTCCCCCACTGTGTACTCACGCTTGTTCTCAAATAAATAAATCTTTAAAAAAAAAAAAAAGATTTATTTATTTATTTATTTATTTATTTGAGAGAGGGGCAGCACAAGTAGAAGGGGCAGAGAGAGAGAGAATCTCAAGCACACTCCATTCTGAGCATGGAGCCTGACACAGGGCTCAACCCCAGGACTCCGAGATCACAACCCCGGCCAAAACCAAGAGTTGATGACTTAACCAACTCAGCCACCCAGGCTCCCCTCAAATAAATAAATCTTTAAAAAAGAAAAAAAGCAATATTATTATAGAGTTCGGAAAAGGAGATTCTTTAACCTGAGAATATAAATTGAGTACTCCTGCTTAAACACAGCACCTTTTTCATGCCCCCTAATACACTGACATGAACCATGATTAGAGGCACTGAACTAATAGTTTACTTTTCTATGTAAGAAATTAATCTTAACATTATAAAATGAAAAAAAGAATATCATTTTTGACTCATCAAATAGGCAAAGATTATTTAAAATGATTACCTAATGTTAGGGGTATGAGTTAATAGGCCCTGATATGCACTTCTAACAGAAGGTAAATCTTCTCTAAAACATCGTTAGAAATTGTGCAGTCTCATAAAAAGCAGAATCCTGGGGAACCTGGGTGGCTCAGTTAGTTAAGTGGCTGCCTTCGGCTCTGGTCATGATCTCAGGGTCCTGGGATGGAGTCCCAATTCAGGCTCCCTGCTAAGCAGGGAGCCTGCTTCTCCCTCTGCCGTTCCCCTCACTTGCTTTCTCCCTCCCTCTCTCTCTCTCTCATAAATAAATCTTAAAAACAAAACAAAACAAAACCATGCAGAATCAGACCCAAAAACACAGAGAACAAACTGATGGTTGCCAGATGGGTGGGAAAGGATAAAATGGGGAGTGAGAGATACAGGCTTCCAGTTATGGAATGAATAAGTCACAGAAATAAAAAACACAGCAAAAGGAATACAGTCAAAGGTATTGTGATACTACTATATGGTGACAGACAGTAGCTACACTTGTGGTAAACACAGCGTAACGTATAAACTTACAGAATCACGACATTATACACATAAAACTATAACGTTGTATGTCAACTATACTCATTAAAAAAAATTTTAGGGGTGCCTGGGTGGCTCAGTTGGTTAAGTGTCCGACTCTGATTTCAGTTCAGGTCACAATCTCAGAGCTGTGACACTAAGCCCCATGTTGGGTTCTGCACTGGTCATAGAGCCTGCTTAAGATTCCCTCTCTCTCTCCCTCTGTCTCTCCCCTCTCAAAAAAATGTAAATAATAAAAGTGAGAATAATACAATGTTCTAAGTTTGTTGTGATAATTAAATAAGACATTTGTGAAAGTATTTAGGCAACGCCCTGATATAGCAAGTGTTCAATAAATCATAGCCATTTTAACTATTAGGACTATTATTAAATCCTTATGAAATCATTTAAAAAATTACATAGTTTTATACTTAGACATTAGAAGTTTACCAGAATTATACCCAAGATATATGAAAATATAAGTCTGTCTACATGAGAGAATCCCCATCCATATTCAGTAGCAGTGTAATAGACCACTGAGCTATGTTTCCTATCATGATTTTGTACTCCACCCCCCAACATCCAACCACAGGTGACCAGAGCAGGTTTAGATGCCACCCAAGAGCAGCTAATCCCTGAAGTGGTCAACAAAAACAGAAACCAATCCAATTCCCTCTCAAAAGATCTTAAATAAGGAAAATAAAGAAATAGTGAAACAATTGGTGGTTGGTGCTGAAGCTCAGAGAAGTATATATACTCCACTGGAGCTGCCATCAAGGGCTGTGTACACAACAGGTAAGCACAGAAAGCCAGCTAGAAGAGAAAGGAAAATAAAACAGATTCTCTGAAAGAGAGACCTCGCTAGTGGAGAGAACAATAGGCTCAGTAACTGTTCTAGTTCCTATTGTACCCAAGGTTTGGTTTTTTCAGCGTTCCATGGGTTCCTAATCATGTTCACTTTTCCCCCGTAATCCGCAGTACCTTCCCTTTTCCCCAGCAATAAACAAAATAAGTCTCTGTAACTTGACATTCATAATTAAGAAAATGTATATTAAAACAAGTAAAGACTATTTTCACCTTCTGATGGGTAAAGATTAAAAAGTTTCATACTGGGCACCTGCGTGGCTCAGTGGGTTAAGCCCCTGCCTTCAGCTCAGGTCATGATCTCAGGGTCTGGGATCAAGCCCATCGGGCTCTCTGCTCGGTGGGGAGCCTGCTTCCCCCTCTCTCTCTCTGCCTACTTGTGATCTCTCTGTTAAATAAACAAAATCTTTTTTTAAAAAAAGTTTCATACTACCTAATGTGGATAAGAATTCGGATAAACACTCATTTTTTTATTACGCTCAGTTAGCCAACATAAATTACATCATGAGTTTTTGGTGCAGTGTTCAATGACTCATTAGTTGTATATAACACCCAGTGCTCATCAACACTCATATACTTTTAAGTATAATCTCCCCAAAACTTTCAGAAGTGCAATGTGGCAGCAGCTACCATATTTTTAAAAAATGCATACCCTTGTCCCAGCAATTTTCTACTTCTGGACTCCAGTGTATAGATACATTTACAAAAGCAGACAATAATAAATGCACAAAAACATGTATTGCTTATAATAGTAAAAAATGGAAGCAACCTAAATATTCATCAATCAGGTTCCTAGGGTACAAATTTATAACAAAATTCTGTACACTTAAAAAGAAAGGGGGTGCCTGAGTGGCGCAGTGGGTTAAGCCTCTGCCTTCGGCCCAGGTCATGATCTCAGAATCCTGGGATCGAGCCCGGCATCGGCATCAGCATCGGGCTCTCTGCTCAGCAAGGAGCCTGCTTCCCTCTCTTTCTCTCTCTGCCTGCCTCTCTGCCTACTTGTGATCTCTGTCTGTCAAGTAAATAAATAAACTCTTTAAAAAAAAAAATTTTTTTTAATAGAAAGAACCAGAGGGGTGCCTGCCTCGCTCAGTTGGTAGAGCATGAAACTCATGATCTCGGGGTCATGAGTTCGAACCTCACAATGCGCACAAAGTTAAATTTTTTTTTTTTTTTAAGATTTACTCATTTATTTATTTAGACAGAGAAAGCATGCATGCACATACATGCACAGCGGGGAGGAACAGCGGGAGAGGGGGAGAAAAATCCAAGCCAACTGCACTGAGCACGGAGCCTGATGTGGGGCCCAGCCCCATGATCCTGAGATCACGACCTGAGCCCAAACCAAGAGTCAGACGCTTAACCAAGAGTGCCATCCAGATGCACCCAAAGTTAACTCTAAATAATTAAATAAAAATAAAAAAGAAGAACCAGATATATGTATACACACACTAAAAGTGATGTTATTAGAATAAAAGCAGATTGAACAAGGTTAATCTATTTGTTTATACGTGCATATACAAAGAAGAAATTTGAGAAGGTATATACAAACCTCTAGAGAGTTACTGGGAAGAAGTAGAATTGAGTTGGCCAAGAGGTAAGGGGACTTTAAGTTTTCACTAGATATGTTTCTTTAATGTTTTACAACAGCATTGATTTTTTCTAGCTTTGCTGAGGTATAATTGACAACTTAAAATTGTTTTATTTTGTTTTTTATAGATTTTGTGTATTTATTTGACAGAGAGAGACACAGCAAAAGAGGGAACATAAGCAGAGGGAGAGGGAGAAGCAGGCTTCCCATCAAGCAGGGAGCCCAATGCGGGGCTCGATCCCAGGACACTGGGATCGTGACCTCAGCCGAGGCAGGCGCTTAACAACTGAGCCACAGTCGTCGTTGTCAGGTACTCTGACAGCTTAAAATTGCATATATTTAAGGTATATGACTTGATCTGATACACATTACGAAATAACCACCATAATCAGCTAATTAATATATATTAATGTATTCATCACAACTCATATAATTACCATGTTCTTTTCAAGTTTGTGTATGTACACAACAACTTGAGATCTATTCTCTTAGCAAATTTCAAGAATACAGTAATCATTAATTATGAACATGTATGTTAATTCTCTAGAAATTATTCATCTTGCATTACTAAAACTTTGTACCCCTTAACCAACATCTCCCCATATTGATTTTGAATAATTTAATAAATTTTGTGAATTTAATCAGTGAGTTAAATGAAATTAATGACTGTTTAAAAGACTGATTTTTTTTAAAGATTTATTTTAAATCACAGCAAGTATGAAGGGAAAAGACATAATAATTAAAGGTTGGCCTTACCTGGTGAGCCCTGGAATTTGGCTCTTTTAACTGCAAGAGAAAAAAAGAGGACACCATGAAGAATTTTTACAAATTCATTAACTAAACCAACATTTCTTAAGCATCTACTATATACCAATGGTAGAGTTAGAACTAGATTTGTAAGTCTAAGTCTAAGAGAAAAGATGCTGGGACATCTGAGCAAAGCTTGAAGGCAGAGAGTTAGAAGGGCCTTTACAAATCATCCAATCTCTTCCTCAACACAGAAATCTCTTACAGCCTCTTGACAACAAGATAGAGGAAACTAAATTACTCCTATGGCAGGCAACCAGTTTCATGTCACATATCTAAGGTTTAAGTTACATATGTTTCTCATTTAAAGCCCATCATAGAAACTCCCTCCATTTCATTCATGCCAAAAGACAAGCTCAACAGGCAGATTTAAACAACAGATTTTAAACAATGGGGAGAAGTAATTTCTTGCTGGGAATAAACAAGTTAACAAGAGACGCTCCTATCCAAATGATCACAAAGAGCTATTCACCAAACCTCAGCGCAGGACTGCAAAGAAAAAAGCCCTCACTAGGATTGCAGCATGCCAGCTTCTAGGAAAGGTCGAAGACAACAAACATGCAGGAGAACTGCTAAATTCCAGTAAACATGAAACATTTTCCCATTAATGAAGAGTAGGACAAAGTGTGCAGGGATAGGGGGAGAATAAAAAGAAATCCCAAGACAACTGAAAGCTTCTCCTTAGCTGACATCCAAGCTCTTCCTAACACATCCAAGAGAATAGGTAATTCAGCACCTTTTTACAAGACCCTCTCCATTTTTAGGAGATTTCAGGAAATTTTAGCATTAACACTTAATGCTAAAATCTATTTTACTGAATCAAAGTATGTCTCCCACTGGGCTGTCCCTTACAGTCTCACATCAATCCCTCTTCCCAATTATTCAATTATTCTTTAATAGTTTCATTTAATCTAAGACTTACTATAAAGCTACAGTAATCAAGATAGCATAGCACTGGCAAAAATAGACATAGATCAAGGAAATAAAATTGAAATATATATAAGATATATAACTATAACACATTATCTTTACTTCATATACATGTAAAACTTGAAATGGATCATGAACAGAACTAAATATGAGCTAAAACTATAAAATATCTAGGAGAAAAAGGAAAATCTTAGTGATCTTGGGCTAGGCCAAGATTTCTTAAATTGAATAAAAAATCATGAACTTTAAAAGAAAAAAATGGATAGACTAGACTGAGAATTTAAAACATGCATTCCTCAAGACACTATTAAAAAGGCAAGTCTGGGGCACCTGGGTAGCTCAATCAGTTAAGCTTCTGAGTCTTGATTTCGGCTCAGGTAACAATCTCAGGGTCATGGGATCAAGCCCTGTGTCCAGCTCCACACTCAGCATGGAGTCTGCTTGGGAATCTGCTTAGGATTCTTTCTTTCCTTCTCCCCCTCCCCTGGCTCGCACACATGCTCTCTAAGTAAATGAATAAAACCTTAAAAAAAAAAAAAAAAAAAAAAAAAAGGCAAGTTTAGGAGGAAATATTAGCAAAACACGTATGGTAAGACTGATAAAGGGCTATAAGAAGAAATCTCAAAACTCAATATTAAGAAGTCAAGAACCCACATTTAAAAACTGTAGAAAGGAAGGCACTGGGCTGGCTTAGTTGGTAGACCATGTGACTGTTGGTCTAGGGGTCATGAGTTTCACCCCCACACTGGGTGTAGAGCTTACTTAAAAACAAAACAAAAAAATTTTAAAACACACTTAACATTTACATTAGCACAAAAGAATTAAATACTTAAGTATAAACCTAAAAAATATGTACCAGATCTAGACGAGGAATACTACAAAACTCTGATGAACGATATAAAAGAAGTAATTAGAGAAATAATCCATGCTCATGGATAGGAAGACTCAATATTATCAAGATGTCAGTACTTTCCAACTTTAACCTAGAGATTCAAAACAATCCTAATCAAAATCCCAGCAAGTTAATATTAAAATTTCCTGCATCACTTAAAAAAAGCAGTTCAAAAATAATACTTTACACTACAACCCTGCATGACTAAGATTTTGAACATCTAAATTGATGATTTTTACCCATGAGTTATTTAATATTGTTAGCACTATAATATTATATGAGTCACTTATATTTGTATTACCATGTAATGGTAATTGTATGTAAATGTAATGATGTAATTAAACAGAATTCTGACCATCATAGTCTGCTAACCTTTAAAATGTCACTTATTGGGCACCTGGGTGGCTGGCTCAGTGGGTTAAGCCGCTGCCTTCGGCTCAGGTCATGATCTCAGCATCCTGGGATCGAGTCCCGCATCGGGCTCTCTGCTCTGCAGGGAGTCTGCTTCCTCCTCTCCCTCTCTCTGCCTGCCTGTCTGCCTACTTGTGATCTCTGTCTGTCAAATAAATAAATAAATAAATAAATAAATAAATAAATAAAAATGTCACTTATTCCTTCATTCATTGGCTTGCTACTTTCAAAATAAAGTAAAAGGCTATTAAAAAAAAAAAAAAATCCCAGCAAACTATCTTGTGGATATGGACAAACTGATTGTAAAGTTTATATGGAAAAGCATAACACCCACAACAGCCAACTCTATGCTAAGTTCCAGACCAATTTTACCCAATTTTGGAGACTTACTATAAAGCTAATAAAAGCTAGTATGGTTTTAGTGAAAAAACAGACAAATAGATCAAATAGAACAGAACAGAAGAGCAAGAAACAGACCCACATAAATATAGCCACCTAATTTTTTTTTTAAGATTTTATCTTTCAGCAACCTTTACATCCAATGTGGGTGTCAAACTTAACAACCCTGAGAGATACCTGCTCCATCCACCAACTGAGCCAACCAAGAGCCCCAGTCAACTAATCTTCAACAAAGGAACAAAGGCAATACAATGGAGGAACAATAGCCTTTTCAACAAATGATGCTGTAACTAATGGATGTGTACATGGTGGGGAAAAAAAAAATCTAGAGACAGACTTTCACAAAAATTAACTCAAAATGGATCACAGGCCTAAATGTAAAACAAAATTATGAAATTCCTAGAAGATAACATAAGAGAAAATGCAGATGACCTTGGGTATGATTAGGACTTTTTTAGACACAACACGAAGGCACAATTCACAAAAGAAGTAATTGATTAGGGGAAATTCAGTAAATTAAAAACAGCTCTGTGAATGCTCGCTTCGGCAGCACATATAAAAACAGCTCTGTGAAAGGCCATGCCAAAAAGAATGAGAAGATAAGCCACAGAATGGGAAAAAGTATTTGCAAAAGACACATCTCATATAGGACTGTTATCCAAAATACACGAAGAACTACTAAAACTCAACAGTAAGAAAACACACAACTTGATTTTTTTTTTTTAAGATTTTATTTATTTATTTGACAGAGATCAGGAGCAGGCAGAGAGAGAGAAGGAAGCAGGCTACCTGCTGAGCAGAGAGCCCAATGTGAGGCTCGACCCCAGGGACCCTGGGATCATGATCCAAGCCAAAGACAGAGGCTTTAATCCACTGAGCCACCCAGGCACCCTGCACTACTTGATTTAAAAATGAACAAAAGACATTAACAGACACTTCACTGAAGAAGATATACAAGATAGCAAGTAACCCCATGAAGAGATGTTCAATATCATATGTCATTAGGGAATTACAAATTAAAACAATGGTGTTAAGCAAGGAAAAAACTGCCTAAAAACTGAATTAAATGGATGAGGTAGCTATTTGTCTTCTGGGCTCCTTAGTATCAAAACACTCTCCTTCTGAAGTAATCCTGAGAGAGATGGGAGACAGAACCTAAAACACACTACAGAAGCCAAAGGCAACTGACATAGATGCTGTAATCACATACTCCCAACTTCAATTTTGAGGGAGTGAAACAAAGATGCAGGGTTGGTTAGAGAAAGCTGCAGAGAAGAGTTCTAAAGGACAACAGTAAATTTCCAGAGTGTTAGAGCACCCCAATGGACCTTTCCTGTTAAGAGATGTTTGGAGCTTATGCTAATTTTCCTTTTTATCTCCATTTTACAGATTAGCAAAATTCAAGTTCACAGAGCTTCTATGGAAGGGTCAGATTAAGAATCTGTTGGCAACATCATATGGATAATAAGTAATGGAGCTTCATAAAGGATTTATGTCTTCTGACTAAAAATTTAGTTCTTCCCATTTCACCAGAATGCCAAAGCAGCAGCAGAAGGAAAAGAAAAAATGAAAAACTACAGTCTCTACGCTAAGGAAGTTGGGAAAGAAAAAAAAAAAAAAAATGCAAGCACACAGAGGAAAGATCCAATCATAAAATTCATTGTGAGTCTAGAAACCAAAAACCAGTGTTTGGGTGAAATGTGCCACAAAGAAAAGATCAATGAGGAGGATGGGATAGTAATTAAAGTCTTCTAATGGGTAAAATATAGATAAGAAAAGAGACATAAGAAATAGCATTAAAAAGGCATGGGAAAAAATCACTGGAGCATCTTTTTCTACATTGTCATGAAGGTAACAGCACCTAAAATCTGAATGTTTCCCAACATTCCAAAGGCAGGCAAAGTCCACTAGCCCCACAAAATCTCCAAGAGTTTGGGTACAGGTATTTGGGGCTAGTTAGACACGGAACTAAAACAAAGGAGTTATAATAGTATCTTAAATCCAGAGTTTTTCCTATTTAAGAATAAATCTTAAAAAAAAAAAAAAGGAAATCTTTCTAAATCTCCTTTGGAAAGACAGCACAAGGATACCAGAAAGTAGAAGTGGACACATTTTGTTCACGTTTCAGCTTTTTCTAGGTATAGTCCCTCTCTTCCTCTTTTATTATTACTTGCTCCTCCTTAAAACTGTGCCAACATGCCTTCCCTCCCATTGTGTATTACCATAAATTCTTAACCTTTTAAAAATTAGACTCCTTTGATAATTCAACAAAAGCTACAGATCTGCTCTCCAGAAAAATGCACATGTATCCACAAAACAATGTGCATATCAAGGGTAAATTCATGCA